TTGGAGGAGATAGGATATCTAGGAATATATAGATATAGGAATGGCATTGCTTGAACATGTAAAAGAATTAGCCTTGGTAAGGAGTAAGCCTGACTTATTGTGTAAAACAGAGGTGAAGGAGAAAAAAAATAGTGCCAGAAGGAATATGAGTGATATGAGGAAGAGGAGAGAAGTAGGAGTTCATGGTGAATGGTCTCAATTTTTTTCTGTAAAATGTGGGTCAAGGTTCTCAACCAAGAAGGTTGGGAAAGGGGAACCATCGGAAACTGGCAGAGTGATGAGAAAGTTTGGAACACTCATGTAAAGAGATCAATGGATCATAGAACCATTGAAGTATTGAAGTAAGCACTTTGATGTTCTGTAAAAGTGACTAGAAGGAGTATATTTTCCTCTAGGATCAAATATAAATATTTCTTTTTCACTTTTTTTCCTGTTTTACTGTTAAAAACTCTTCTCATCCTGACCATAATCTATTTTGAAAGCCCAATGCATTGCTTCCCTTCCTACACTCCATGGTCTAACCAAAGCTCTTTTCTTGCTGTTCCTCACAGATGAAATTCCATCTCTTGTCTCCAAGCCTTTGAACTGTCTTTCTTAAATTCTTTGAATGCACCCTCTTAAAATCCCTTGTTTCCTTCAAAACTTTGCTCAAGCATCACTTTCTAAATCAAACCTTTCCTGATTCCCTAGCTGTTAGTGCCTTTCCCCTCAAATAATCTTTATTCATTCACTTATTTATTTTAAAATATTGCATATTACCAATAGATAGAATTAATTCATTATAAATTTTATTTTATTCTTTTCAATAGTGAAGAAAAATCTATTTTCTCTACCTCCCACCTCCCCACCACTTCCCTCCCCATTGAAAAAGAAAAAGAAAACCCTTATAACAAATATGCACAAACAAAACAAATTCTTACATTGCCAAATCAAATCAAAACAAAACAAAACAAAAAACCATGTCTTACACTTTGACCTGACTCCATCGCCTCTCTGTCCAGAGGTGGATAGCATGTTTTATCATTACTTCTCTGGAATCATGGTTAGTCATTACACTGATCAGTTCTCAAATATTTCAAAGACGTTTATCTTTACAATTTTGTTGTTTTATTATGAATTGTTCTGTTTTTACTCACTTAAACTGCTCTTCTACAATTTCTACTTCCCAACTTGACATTTTTCTCTTCTAAGACCAACTTAGAACAAGTCTAATCTTTCTTCCACATAAAAGCACTTCATATACTTATGAAAATAGCCATCTTATAAGCCAGCTCCCTAGTCTTCTATTCCATAAGATAAACATCATCCCTGCTCTTCCCTCCCCACCCATACTCTTCCTTCAACCTATCTCCTAATGGAAAAATTTTCAGTCTTATCATCTTCTTGAAATATTATAACTTATGTATGACTTTCCTAAAATGCAGTGCCCATAACTGAACAGAATATTCTAGATAGGATCTGATCATGGCATACTAGATAACATACCTTTCTTAATGCAGTGTGGAATATCATTCGGTAGGTTTTTTTTTTGTTACTGTTATGTTGTGAACTCATATTAAACTTGTATCCCACTAAAAACTCCAGATCTTAAAAAAAAATCTAGCCTTACCTCTTCCTCTTTGTATTAGTACCACTGATTTTTTTAACCTAAGTAAAATTTTACATTTATGCCTATGATAATTTAATAATTACATTATAAGATTTGACCCAATGTTTTAGTTTGTCAGAATTGTTTGGAATCCTGGCTTTGTGTTCTAACATGCTAGTTATCTCTTTGAGCTTAATGTCATCCACAAATTTGATAATGATGGCATCTGATAGATCTACAGTGTACTGCACTAAATGCCTCCCTCTGAATTGAGTTTATATTTGCCTGTTTGTGACTATTCTTTAAGGTCAGCTATTCATCCAGTTTTGAATTCACTTGTCTTATTTTCTAACTCATACCATCCAATATTTTCCACGGAAGATTCACTGTCAAAAACTTTGATGTTATTTTGGTAAGCTACATCTGTGTCACTCTATTTTCCAGGTACGAAATTAGCCTAAGACCTCCTGTTCTTGATAAAGTTATACTGCCTATTGGTGAAATGTTCTCTTTTGTAAATGTTCACAAACCATCCCTTTGATATTAAAGTCCAGAATTTGGAGAAGAATTGAAGTTAAATTCAATGACCCTATGCAGCTCGCTCTCTCTCTCTCTCTCTCTCTCTCTCTTTCTCTCTCTCTCTCTCTCTCTCTCTCTCTCTCTTTCTCTCTGTCTCTCTGTAAAGTGGGACAGGTACTCTTCTCTGGTCCCATGACACTTATCTCATTCTCCACAATCTTTGAAAAATTACTGGCAATAGCTCAGCAATCATACCCACCACTTTTAATACCCTAAGATGTTTACCCAGTCCAAACACTTTAAATTCATTGAGTGCAGCTAGACATTCCCTTACTTTCTCTTTATATGTTGGGTTTCAAATATGTATTAATATTTTTATTCTCTTTATCTAGTCCTTGACAGAGAAAACAAGCAAAATAAGAGCTGAGAAACTCTTCCTTCTGTTCTTGTTGTTCTCATCTCATCCAACTCCAACAGTGGTCATAGAATGCTCATGCTCTTTTTGACTCAAACATAGCTGAAAAAAATGCCTTTTTGTTGTTTTTAGCATTGATCACCAGCTTCAGCTTCTTCTAGACCTTAGTGTTCCTATTTTTAAAGGACTGTAGTACCTTTTGTATCCATCTTCCATTCTTGCCATATATCCATAAGGATGTAGACAGTGTCAAGAATAACTTGCCCAACACAACTGAGTAAAATGCTACAGGGAAAAATTGACCTTTAGAGTACTTCCAAGCATCCCTGAATGAAAAAAGCAGAGCTATATAGAAACTTTGAAGTTGAAACAACAGTAGATATAGAAATAGAAACATAAAAAGATAATCACAAATGAACAATCATAAAGGACTAAAAAGAGATAAACTGCTTACATTCTAATGTAGAAAGATGATACATGGACCTCTAAACCCTATCACCATAAGGGGTCATAGAAGGAGAGATCTGAGCATGGTTCTATTTTGTCTTGTGTATATTTGTTGTTGTTGTTAAGTCATTTTAGTCATGTGCGATTCTCTGTGACCCCATTTGGTGTTTTCTTGGTTTGCCATTTCCTTCTACAGATTATTTTACAAATGCAGAACTAAGGCAAACTGGGTTAAGTGATTTGCCCAAGGTCACACAGCTAGTAAGTATCTACAGCCGGATTTGAACTCAGGTCCTTCTAACTCCAGGGCCAATACTCTATCTCTGTACCACTTAGTTGCATATATGTGTGTATGTATATGTATAAGTATATATGCATGTATATGCATATATGAGTGATATGATACTATCACATGCTATGAGTAATGATGAATGTTTTCAGAGAAACCTAGGAAGAATTCTATGAACCAATACACAATGCAGTGAAAAGAGCTGACAGTAACATAGTAAAAACAATCAACTTTGAAAGAATTAGGAACTCTTACTAGCATAATGACCAACCACAATTCCAAAGGATTATTGATGAAATATCCTGCCTACCTCTTGTTATAGTGAAGGACTCAGACTGAAAAGTAAGACTTTTTTTGAACATGACCAATATGGAAGTTTGTTTTTCTTGACTATACGTGTTTTTAACAGGGATTGTTTTTTCTTGCATATTCACTTTGGCAGGGGCAAGAGGAGAATTGGGATGGGAGAGGAAAAGTGGAATTTCACTGTTTGAAAAAAATAAACTTTTAAAAAATTGAATGTTCATAGTCACACAGAATAAATATTATTATAGTTTTGGGACTTCCAAGATTATTTAGTCTAGCCCCCTCATTTTATAAGATAAGACTTACCTCTTAGTTGTCTACATCTCAAATACTTAACTACTTTTTAAAAATTACTATAAATATTAGTTTCTAGTTTCTTCTCATCATCCATTATATTTTTGGATCATCTGCTTTTCTCTTCCCTACCTCAGGTTCTCCTGTTTTTGGTAGGATTATGACTTGGAAATAAGAGTTATTTTAATATCTGTGTACTCTTCAGGGCACTATTACTTAAGTTAAAATCTGATTTTTTAAAAAATTTAATACGTATATTACCTCACATAATACCAACACAGTAAACCTCCTAAATCTCTGTCATATTAATTTTCTTTTAAAAAATAGACTCTCATTTCCTCCTGTTCTATTTTTGTGTATGTTAAGTGAACATAAAAGGAAGTCTTGAAAACTAAATGTAGAGAGGGGGAAAAGCAGTTCCATCTGCTTTGCTTAAGCCATAGTGGGTTCAGAAGTTCCTTTTTAAAGTACATACATATATGCATGCATGCATACATACATACACAATATATATTACAAATGTATGCATATGTACATATAAATTACATACATTTATATATTTAAAGTGTGTGTATATTTATGTGTGTCTGTGTTTGTGTGTGTATAAACACCTATGTTGTACATAAATATTTATATATGTGAATTGTATATGTATATGTGTTTTTTTTACATCAGCTGATGAAGCCATCTTGCTCTGTCCCAGTATAATTGGGGGAGCTTCTTTAAATAGCTATCTGACAATTCTCTATACCCAAGGACCTATTTTAAAGCTTCAACACTTCTTTATACATGGAAAGGAAACTCAGATGGTTTCATAGAAATTTATAATCCTTTAATGCTAGAATTGGAAGTGATCTTAATGATTAAACTAATTAGACCTCACTAATTTCCAGTTTCCTCCAACTGGAAATCAGTGAAGTTAAATTATTTATTGCCAGAATAGAAGTTTGTTTATAAATTGTTAATTCATAATTTTAAAAATATAAGTGGCCTTTACTATCTTATAATACCTAGCCAATATGCATTGTGAAGAACTATCTCCATCTCTTCTCCACCCTCAAAGAAAGATTTGATGAACACAGATCAAATGAACAGAATTATAACACTGAATCAAGTGTGGTTTGATTTTATTTAATTTATAGGTCCAGTACATATCGCTCCAAAAACTTGAATGTCAATGTTAAATATACTCAAGGGAGCTGGACAGGATCAGTTGGTGAAGATGTGGTTACTATTCCAAAGGGATTCAATAGTACTTTTCTTGTCAACATTGCTATCATTTTTGAATCAGAAGATTTTTTTTTACCAGAGACTAAATGGAATGGAATACTTGGACTTGCCTATGCCATGCTAGCCAAGGTAAGCCTTTCCACTGTCATATAAATTAATTCTCTAATCTTGGCCCCTGTGAAATAATGAGAAAAATGGATGCATAGTTCCTATAAATTTAGAAATAAAGGAGATAGGAATGAATTCTCAATGTTAAGAGTCTAGAGATGATTGTAATAGAAAAAAACTATATAACTAAGAGAATACACTTTATATCCTCAATCATCTTTTGAAATAAAAAATAAGAATATCATGCTTTCTGGAAGAAATACCATGAATGTCATGTTGTATTATTGTAATAATTGATTTGTTGTTTTTCGGTTACATAGTTAACAATGTTAACAGAAAAAGTGCCATAATTTTAGTTTAAAATTTTTATCTATATTTAAGAGTTTCAGTATAGGTAAAGACTGCACAAATTCTTGAATTTATACTTTTATAAGGAGAAAGTAAAAGAAGAGATCTTTCTGGTTAGAAAAGATGTACCTCAGTCAATTTGAAGATACTATGAAGCAGTCCTAAAAGATTACTGTAATACTTTCCCATAAGAACAAAGTATCATTAAGGAAAACTCCTGCATCATTGCAAATAAAACTTGAAACAAATTGAAAATCTAGTGACTGTTGTAGCCGTAAGATGCTGAAATGGATTACTTAAGTAGGGAGTATCCTATCTTTCTGTACATTTCATTAAAATTAAAAAAGATAACTTTGTTCTTGTGACAGTTTAAACCAGAGATATTTCTGCCATTTTAATAAAAATAGAAATTTCCTTCTAATGAGGACAGATAGCTCTATTTTCTTATATGGAAGTCCACCCAATTGGGATAGAAGTTGAATTCCCCTATAATGGCAAGTTGAGGCCTGTGTCTTCATGTAATACATTGTTTGACTATGTAGAATTAAATGGGAGAACTGGGGTGGTTGTTTCATAGTGAACATGGAAAAAGCATTCTCCATATCTGAAGACAAGTAATTAATTATGTTTTTTAAGTTTTGTTTGACTATGTAACCATAAAAAAACTATTTCACTCCTGGGTGTCTTCATTTCCAAATGAGACAAATAAGAATAGTTTTCTTTGAGATGCTTTATGGTATTCCAATACTAGGAGTATTGGATAATTTGGAAGTTTAATAATATAAATCTTTTGTAATACAGATGAGGTGATATGCATGATTATAAAGACTCCAATGACAATTATATTTTTCATCAAAATGTTGAAGAGATTTTACATACTTGTATTTCACTGGAGTCCAAAAGACAGTGATAATTTACAGAAAGGGGGACAGACTCTAAAAAAGGAACTTCAAAGAGTTTTTTTCAGATTTAGTAATGTGAAGATACTTAAGGAAGAGTAGAAGGTGACCAAGAATAGGAATAGGCAAACACTTTGACCAGTATTTTTGAATTGAAGGCATTGGAGGAGTGACCTACAATTAGGCCTAGAAAGATAGAAGGAGAGCTGAGTACAAGAGGGAGACTTGATTTGTTACCAACTAGGACCCCCAAAAGGGATAATTCCCTTTCCTAATAGAAAATCATTCCCTCACCTGCTAAGAGCATAAAGGTATGCATCCTATCTACTCCTGCTTATTCTCTAACCTGAACCCCAAGTGTTTTAACCAAGCTACTGTCAGCAACTTTTCAAAGTCAGAACCTGAACTAAGGATTACTGTTTCCCCTAAACTCAGAAAACATATGATGAGCTATCTTTTGTATTGAGTCCATTGAGTAGGCACAGAGATGCTTTCTGAACAAAGAGCTGTGGCAACATGTAACAAATGAAGAGAACAAAACTAGAAATTAGTGAGTGATGACGGTGAAAATGCTTACTTTTATGAGAACTGGTAAAATATTTTAAAACCCATTGATCAATAAACAAACATTTATTTAAGGTCTACAATTTGGTACTAGGCTAGTTATCTCAGAGAAAACAATAAAACAATTTATTACCTTCAAGAAGTTTAGATTTTATCACAGTAAAAAAAAAGTTCTATCCATAAATTTAAAATATCTACACAATAAACACAAAGTAATTGAGGAGGATAACAAACAGCTAGGGATATCAGGAAAGTCTTCATTTAGGGGGTGACACTTGAAAGGGGCTTTGAAGAGAAATAGAAGTTCTAAGACGGAAGACTGAGAAAGGACTAAATTCCAGATGTAATGAATATCTCCTGCAAAGGTTCACCCAGATCAAACATATGGGTTCCTTTGTCTAAGGAATGTCAAGTGGTTAGTTTGGCTAGACTATAGTTTAAATACACAAAGGGGAGGAACACATAAGAAAGTTAGAAATATAGGCTAGAGAGAGATTGTAAATGCTAAAGGAGTACTTTTTTTAGCCCCTAGAAGTAACAGGGAGCCACTGGGGTTTATTGAGCATGGAAGAGATATGGTTAGTCCAGTGCTTTGAAATATCACTTTAGCAACCATGTTGAGGATAGCTCTGAAAAAAAAAATATTTGAGTTAAGGAGGTCAGTGCAATAGCCTGGAACAAAGGACAACAAACTATAGCCTACTGCTAGTTTTTGTTCAGCCGACAAGGTAAGAGTGTTTTCTTACATTTGTAAATAAGGTTTTATTATATTTAAACATGTAAAATTTATTCTTCGCTTATGGGCCATACAAAAACAAGCTGTGGGGCAGGTTTGCCCTGGAGGCTACATTTTGCCCACCCCTGGTCTAGAAGAGAAGTAATGAAGTCCTAAAATAGAGGTGAACATTTAAGTAATGAAAAAAGGACAGATGCAGGAGGTATAGAGGCAAAATTGACAAAAGAGAGCACCTAATATGATATAGGGCATGACAGAGAATAAAGAGGTAATGATAACCCCAAAATTGTGAATCTGGTAAACTGGAAGGACAAATAATGTCCTCAATAGAAATAAGAAAGTTAGAGGAAGAAGAGTGGGTTTTTGCTGAAAGAATAACAAGTTTTGTTTTGGACATATTGAGTTTGAGATGCCTTCAAAACACCTAGCTGGAAATTTTAGCAGACAGTTGATAATGCTCAATCAAAGCTCAAGAGAGACTGGAAATAAATAGGTAATATGTATATCCATTGATCTGGAAATGGTCTCATAAAGATTATATTTGGACCTATGGATTCCAAGAGGGGATATAGAAGAATGATAAGAAGCTCCAGGACAGGACCTTGTGATATAGCTATAGTTAAGAGGTAGACATGAATGATAATCCAGAAATGAGACAGGTAGATAGCATGGTCCAACATATATACACTATTTATTAGCCATAGTTTAATTGGTAGGCAATTTGTCAAAAACTTAGTATTTTCAGGTCTAATCATCAACAGCTATTTATTTATAGAGTACCCACCATTAGATCTTAGACTCTGAAATGGATTGAGACTTTGGGACACTTTTTATGTGTGTGTTTTGTATATCTATGTGTATGTATATGTACATTTGTGTGTGTGTGTGTGTGTGTGTGTGTGTGTGTGTGTGTGTGTGTATGAAGGAAGACTGAGACAGAAAGGATGGAAAGGGTCAGGCGATATCAGTCCTATTTCTAGGCAAACACATCTTTGTTTCAAAGATTACTAATATACTATCTTCATCAGTGTCTCTTTATATCTGCCTTCTACATGAGTTCTGATAGTACATATAATGTCTGTCAGGAGTATCAAGTAATAAGTATGAACTAATATTACATTATTTAAGTTACACAGAAAGGAAGATTTAAAAGTCATAGGAAGTTCTGCCTACCATTTCTGAATTATTTTTATTATGAATTTCTTCATTCTTTTTTCATAAATGAAATATAATTTACTGGATGTTGCTTGCTCTTATATACTTGATAACTTTTTAAACAAAATATGAGTAATAATGAAGTAATTGTACTTTTGATTTAATTTTTTCATAGCCATCGAGTTCATTGGAGACATTCTTTGATTCCCTTGTGAAGCAAGCTAAGATCTCCAATATTTTTTCCATACAAATGTGTGGTGCAGGATTACCAACAGACAGAACTGGTACCAATGGAGGTAGTCTTGTGGGTATCTTTTAGTCTTAAAGAGGAGAAAAACATGATTTGTGGGGTTTTTTTCTTAATCTCTTTCAGAATAATTATACATTAAGTTGGCTATAAAATGTGAATGCATATATATGATTAAGTGTTGATGGTCATATTTAAATGCTATTTTACACTTCCTCATTGTGTCATTACATTAAATTCTCTCATTCTTCTCCCAAGTTTTCCATTACAGCTCCTCTTTATTCTTCCTATTATAGCACACTATTTCTCATTACAGACAGAAAATTTGTCTATTTGAGCTGTCCATATGGGGAAGAGGATGAGGGGAAGAGGATGAAGGGAAGAGTAGAAATCATTTGTACTACGATTTTACATACATATATGTGTATATACATGTACACATGTGTGTATGTACACATGTGTGTGTCTAAACATACTTTTATGTTACTTATTTTTATTTATTATTTATAAACAGTGCCTGAGCCATTCTATGTTCACCTATTCCTCAAATCCAAGTACTAGGAGATTATACTCCTAGAGAAATACAAAGACATATGTGGTATCTGACATGAATATTGAACTAAGAGGACTAACATGTTGAGTGAAACTGAAGACTGAATTATTCTTTTTGATCAGCCTCCCCCAACTTAGTAAATAGAAAAACTGAAAAGGGAGAAAATATTATGAAGAATTATCTTGGTGCAGAAACAGTGGCCAGCCACCTCACCCCACTTTCTCTGAAGGGTGTGGGCTCTCAGAGCCATTGTAACCCAACCAGTCAAGCAATCAATAAGTACTTATTAAGAGGCTGCTATGTGCCAGGAACCATGCTAAATAATGGGAATAATAATAAAGGCAAAAAACAGCATCTGCTCTTAAGGAGCTCACAGTCAAATGGGGGAACAGCTTGCAAACAACTATGTACAAACAAACTACATACAGGATAAATTAGAATTATCCAAAGAGAGAAGACACTAGGATTTTAAGGAGTATTAGGAAAGGCTTCCTGTAGAATAGGATATTTTAGTTGAGGCTTGAAGGAATTCAGAGAAGCAAGGAGACAGAGAGGAAGAGAGAGAAAATTCCTGGCAATCAAGATATAAAGGGGCAGCCAGTGAAAATTCCTGCAGTTGAAAGATAAAGCATATAGCATAGGGAAAAGCAGAAGTGAGTGTCACTGCCTTGCTGAGTATATGTAGAGGAGGAGTAAAATGCAAGAAAACTAGAAAGTTAAGGGACAGGTTACAAAAAGCTTTGAATGCCAAGAGATATATATTTAATCCTGGAGGTCATAAAGAGCCTCTGGATTTATCAAGTAGGGGAGTGACACAGTCAGACCTCAACTTTAGGAAAATCACTTTGACAACTGATCGGAGGTATAGGGAGAGACTTGAGGCAGTGAGATTAATCAACAGGCTATTATAATAGCCCTGCCTTGAGGTGCTGAGGTCCTGTGCAGTGCCTGACATGGTGGAAGCTTAATAAATGCTTATTGACTGATTAACTGATTGCATCAGGGTGGTTTCAGTGTCAAGGAGAGAAGAGGGCATATTCAAGAAGTGTTACAATGGTTAAAAAAAAAAGCCATTGCAAAAACAAAATTGGATATGCTATGTGATGGAGAGAGGAGTCAAGGATGACACCTAAGCTGGGAACTTAGATGATGGAGAAGATGGTAGTGTCAATAATAACAGGGAAAGTGTGAAGGGAGGAAGGTTTTGTGGGGGAAAGATAATGAGTTCATCTTATGTTGGATTTAAAATGTCTACAGGACATCCAATTTGAGATGTCCAATAGGCAGTTGGAGATGTGATATTGAAGGTCAGGAGAGAGATTCAAGCTAATTAAACAGAGCAGAGAAACCTCAGCATAGAGATGATCATTGAAGCCATGGGAGCTGATGAAACCACCAAGAGGAAGAAGAGAAGAAGGTTTAAAGCCCTGGGACATAGATAACAGAAATGACTTGGAAGAAGATAAAGCAAAGGAGAAAGAGAAGGAATAGTCAAATAGGTGGGAAGAGAATGAGGAGAAAGTGTTGTCCCAAAAACCTATAGAGAAAAGAGTATCAAGGAGAAGAAGGTAATCAATGTTACATGCTGTAGAGAGGTCACGAAGGATGAGGACTGGGAAAAAGCCTTTAGATTTGGCAATTAAGAGAGAATCATTATTAACTTTAGAGAAAGAAGTTTCATTTGAATGATTAAGTCAGAAGCTGTAGAAAATGAAAACAGAATAAGAGGAAAGGAATTTGAAGCACCTATTAAAGATGGCTTTCTTGTGTTTTTGTTGTTATTCTGAAGGAAAGTGTAGAGGAATATGATTTGTTGCAAGTTTGATCTTGTGTTTTTATTTTTTCCCTGATACCTGTAGAAGTGAGCTGTTTTCTTCCAGCTTGAACACTACGCTATTAACTTTGTCAAATATTAGGAAGTTATTCTTGTGAAAGAAATCCAAAGTTATTTTAAGGAGGAGCCAAGTAATGTGATTCTTCTTACACAATAGAAAAAAAATAAGAATTTAATTTAATTATGGACAGGTATTGATTTATATTTTTGTCTTTGTATGCATAGTACCTAGCATAATGTTTCGTGTATATACATATATACACACATATACATATATATACATACATACACATATACATATATACATATATATTCACATACATATATATGTGTATGTATGCATGTGTGTAGAAATAATGAATGTTTCTCAAATTGTTGAATTAATCTGTTGAACCTGGGCTGGCTTTTATAGCTTTATTTCTTATATTTGTGAATATTTCTCTTCCTAGGTCATGGGAGGAGTTGAACCAAGTTTATATGAAGGTGAAATATGGTATACAACAATTAAAAAGGAATGGTATTACCAGATTGAAATTCTGAAATTGGAAATTGGAGGACAGAACCTCAATCTGGATTGTAGTGAGGTATTTGCAATAAGGTCTATCTGTGTTCACATGCACATCTGTCCATTTTCATTCAAGTGCTATAGCTTTGACCTGACTGTGAAATCTGAAGTCATTCTGTTACATATGTCTATGTCAAAGAATGAATAGAATGGGGAAGCTAGTGATTTGAAGGAGATGGGGGAAAAAGGAGAAAATGTGACTTTCTTACATCTTGGCCTAATATTAATACTTAATTAATATTAATTAAGGTCAATTAACTGGAGGAAAATTGAGAGCCAACTTGCTTCATATTCCTCTTGAAGTGGTATTCTCTGAGCTGTGTCTGCACCTACTTATGACATTACGAGATTGGTTATATATATTTTCCCCTAAGCTGGTCCTGAGTTGGTTGTGTTTTTGTTAATCTCATCAATAAATACAATTAAATATTAAATTAAAGAACTCATCTCTAGAAAATAATGTGTATTGAAGAGAAACAAAGATCTCAAGTTAAAAGAAAAAGGGAGCAAATGAAAAATGTATAAAGTTCACGAGTTGTCTTTTGCAGCATTTCCCCCAAGGGAAAAAAAACTGCATAATCAATAATTTGCTGCTTCCTTTTCTATCATGGGAAACACAAAGGCAAGTTTTTAATATTTACTTGGTTTGATAGCATTAAAAATTTTTCCAGAGAAAGAACTGATAAATAGAAGTATCTATAGAATGTATAGATTTTACATATATGCACATATTTTTATGTAATGGTAGCCATTTCTAAGTTAGGGGAAGGAGGTAGAAAAATTGGGGAAAAAGAAATTTACTTGAAAATTTTTATGTATTTAAAAGGAATAGCAAGTTGTGCACAATAGATTTGCAGTTTCATATACAATTCTTAATTAAACTGTGTTATAGAAATGCTTATTTTATTCCATAAATTAAAAATAAAATAAATAAAATTTTTTAAAAAATTTAAAAAGTAGCTTTAATTATTCAATTGCCTTTGGGGACTTCTGAAAAGATAGGCTAAAGCAACTTTCTAAAACATTTGGCAAAATGCAGAAATTCTGTTTTAATTTTTCATTTACCTTTAATTTCTATCTTCCACCTGTTTCTAAATAGACACTGATTCCTATGAAAAGAAATTCAAGAAGAAAAATAGGTTATGATGAAATAATAAATTCACTGTCATTATTTGTAGAGCCTAATCATGTGGATCAATTCTTATTTTCAGTTTTGAAATAATATCTCCCTTAATGAAACAACAGTAGCTATAATAAGGCTTCAATTTACTGTTTGGTAACCATTTCTCCTTAAAACAAATAAACAAAACAATGTCAGCTTCTTTTTCTTCCCGGATTCAAAGTGTCTCTGGTTTAGGGATACATGTTATTCTCATTTTACAAGTATATCCTGTGTCCAGCTTTAATAAGCTTCAGAGGAGAAATTATGTTAATTGAATACTTGAGTGTCTTCATGAATCAATATGACAATTTCCATGGATAAGAATCTTTTCTCATTTTTATTTTGTTCCTAGTACAAGTAGGTAGTGCTATAAACTACAATGAAGTTATAATATATCCCATTCTCTATGGGTAGATTACCCAGAACAATTGGAGGCTGCTTCTTTTCTCCATAAAACTTCTGTCAGGTCATTCCATTTGAAAAGTTTTGATAGTTGTAATATAGATGATAATGATTTAGGATTAGAAATGAAAGACAATATATATGGTGGAGGGAGAGGAGGAAGGAAAGAGGGTAGGGCTAGCAAATGTCAATGTTTATTACCAAGTCTGACCATCTCTGAAATAAATATGCATAGTTTTGTTGGTTTTTTAATAATCATATGTTTTATCTATTCCATCAACTTAGAGAATAAAGAATCAAATACGTATTCTTTATTCAGATTGTATTTAGGAAGGCATATTTTTAACCTTACTTCTTGACTTTTCAATGTCATCTTTTTTACCCTTGAGTATCTTGTCCCTTTACTTGCTATTATTCTTATCCTTCTAAGCCATTATCCCAGAGGTTTCTGAATTGTGTATTGTATCTTCTTTTCCCCAACCTCCAGGGCTGAAGTACAAGACAATTGTCCAAATATTGAATAGTTTTAGTACAATTAACAGATAAATTCATCTTTTTTTGATAATAACAAAGTTCAAATCAAAATCAGGTAAAATAACAATAACCTGGTACATTTTCCCCATCTTACAATGAATACAGCAAAAATTTTTAATTTAATGTAGTGCGCACAATTGAGGCCAAATTTTATTCAACATATATTTAATATACACATGGATGTGCACTGTCACAATCAGTCATCATAGGTTCATGACACAGAAAAGTTGTATTGTGCACCTTGCTTCATTTTAATGGTGTATAAACTATAATATTAAATATATACATTTATGTGAATATATATATATATATATATGCTGAAGTGAAAAAGTACAATTAATCAGTTTCCCTAAGAACCTCAACTTTTAACAAATTGAAATAACCCAAGAATGGACATAAATAATCATTTCAAATTTTTAGCAGTCAGACTTTTTTTGTGTCTCACTGAGGCTGGAAGTGCAGGATCCACTCCCAGCTCCAATACTACTATTTGGCATAGAAATTTTACTTTCTCTGTTTCCACGCTGGGCTGATTTGCCCATCCTCAAGCATCCTGGTCACTCTGCACTCCTGGGAGCCCACTATATTAGTGCCAGACTTAGTGAAGATACCTAATCAACTCTAGTTCTACTGCAACTCAGAACTAGGCTCAAGTGATCAACCAGCCTTGGCCTTCCTAGTATCAGGAATTACACATGTATACCATGACACTGAGTAACAATTAGATTTAGTGAAATATTCTTAAATTTGTTATTGTCTGTATTTTTAAAAGCTGAAATAACATACCTTCATAATGAATAAAAATATAGATTGAACAGAAAATCTATTGGAACAGATAAAATTAATACAAAGAGTATAGAGAGAATTTAAGCAGCAGAAATACAGAAAAATTAAAAAGATCAAATTTTAAAAACTATTCTCCACTGTATTTATCTTTGAGATTCAAAACTATCATTATTGATAGAGAGGAAAGACTTCTGTCTTTCCTTTGTTCTGGTGCCTTAGCTGTAGATAACATGAATTAACATCACATCTTGAAAATGCATACCATATATATGTAGAGGCAAGATAAGATATTTTTCCATAGAAAATTAGATACTTTTAATAAGTAAAACCAGAATTTTTCTTAAAGCCATATCTATGACATCAGAAAAATTATTTGCATCCTATAAAGTTATATACAGAATTATTAACTATAAAAACTTCCTTTAATTGGAAAAAACATTGATGCTACTTTGATATAGCTGAAACAGTGTTTAGTGAAGTAAATTAGAAGTGGCTTTGTGGGATTCCACATAAAGATAATTTAGTGGGAAGGAGAAATGAGTTCATTATCAGAGAAACTTGCTGTAGAAATGTTTAATATTACTTCATGTCTATGGTACTTTTTAGCAAAATGTGGTTTCCCTAAATATCTATTTTAATAAGATCTGATTTTGTTTTTGCTTTGTCCTGAGGTCATGATTGCTATCCCTGCCTTTTTCACTTTAGCTGAAAGATAATAGATTATGCTCTAGGTCCTTATTTTAACTCTATGTGTGTGTATTTCTGTTTCAAGTCTGTCTCTTGTATAAAAAAAAAAAAGTATTGTTGGATTCTGGTTTCTAATCCATCCTGCTATCCACTTTCATTTTATGAGTGAGTTCATCCCATTCACATCCACAGTTATGATTACTGTGTATCTTCATCCTATTTTCTTCTTTTTTTATCCTTTCTCTGTGTTTTTACCCTGTTCCTCCTCAAAAGTTTGCTTTGTTTCTGACCATTGCCTTCCTTAATCCACTTTTTCTCTTCTTTTCCCATCCTACTTCCCTATTGGGTAAGACAAATTTCTATACCCAAGTGAGTGTGTATATATATTCTTCCTTCTTTGAACCAATTCCAGTGAAGGTGAAGTTCAAGCATTGCCAGCCACCACCATCTCTTTTTCCTTCCACTATAAAAGTTCTTCCTTGTACACCTCTTTTATGTGAGATAACTTTCCCCATTCTTCCTCACCCTTCCTCCTCCAAGTGTTTCCTCTTTCCCACCCCTTCATTTTTTTTTTGAGATCATCCCAACACAATCAACTCACACCCATGCCTTCTATCTACATAGACTCCTTTTGACTGCCCTAATAACGATAAAATTCTTAAGAGTTACACAGACCATCTTCCCACATAGGAATGTAAATAATTTATCTTTATTGAATCTCTTATGACTACTCTTTCATATTTACCTTTTCAAGCTTTTCTTGCATCTTGTGTTTGAAAGTCAAATTTTCTACTCAACTCTGATCTTTTCATTAGGAATGTTTGAAAGTCCTCTACTTCATTAAATATCCATTTTTCCCATGAAAGTTTTATTTTTCCTGGATAGATTATGTTTGGCTATAATCTTAACTCCTTTGCCTTCTGGAATATCACACCCAAGCCCTCTGCTCTTTAACTATAGAAGCTCTTAAATCTTTTGTACAGTATTTGAATGGTTTCTTTCTGGCTGCTTGCAATATTTTCTTTTTGCCCTGGGAACTCTGGAAATTGGCTATAAAATTCCAGAGAGTTTTCATTTTTGAATCTCTTTCAGGAGGTGATTGGTAGAGTTTTTTTATTTCTATTTTACCCTCTGAATCTAAGATATTTAGTCAGTTTTCTTTTATATTTTCTTGAAAATTAATGTCTAGGTTCTTTTTTTGATCATGGCTTCCAGGTAGTACAATAATTCTTAAATAATCTCTCCCCAACTTATATCCCAAGTCAGTTGTTTTTCTGATGAAATATTTCACATTTTCTTCTTTTTTTCATTCTTTTAACTCTGTTTTATTGTTTCTTGATGTCTCATGGAGTCATTACCTCCACTTGCCCAATTCTTATTTTTCAGGTAGGAATTATTTTCTTCAGTGAGTTTTTGTATTTCTTTTTCCATTTGGCCTATTCTGCTTTTTAAGGATTTTTTTTTTCTTCAGTGAATTTTTGTGCCTATTTTACCAAGCCATGTGATTAGGAATACTAGATA